GATCGTGTAACCCTCTCCAGAGCCTGTACTCCTAGTGATCGTGTAACCCTCTCCTGAGTCCGTACTCTTGCTCATCACACGAGATTCTGGTTATAACTGTAAGGTTTTTACTTCAAGTCATGCTAGGTATGAAAGCTCAAGTCATGCTAGGTATGAAAACGGATTTTGCAACACGAACTCACCAGTCTTAACGTGCATTACCTACTTTCTACCCGACACAACACTTTGACAACTGTATACGATGGGTGGCACCAACCTTCTGAGGAGGCTTACTTTAATAGCGAAGGTTCGTCTTAAGTATTGTATATAGAGTTGTGATAATGGTTTTCGGTTATTAAACACTACGCTTGTGTTACAATTAACCCAGAAGATGGCAGCACTCGAGGACTCATTAGTTTCCGGTATTGACAATTTGCACGAGGGGGTATAATTAACTGACGAATGTTCCAGGTCCCTTATCGACCTGTGGCTGCCATCCTGTGGACTCGGCGTCTCGACATGTCGGCAAGGTTTGGTGAATACGCCATCGGTGGTGTATGATGAAAAAGAGTTAACTCGCTCAAAGAATCAGCGATTGTTCAGTTTCAGGGAGAAGTCTACGAACAACCGACGAGCTGTACGGTGAGATATCAACTTTATTCACATTTTTACTGAACTAGTACCGAACACTGACGAAGCTTTTCATTAGATGCCCGGACGTTGCTTAGACTTAGATTCGGTCTAATTTAAAGCTTGTTAGCGTCTTGAATAACCTTTTATTGCTGTGTGCATACACAGCACCCGTCAACTGGAGACCGGGGGAGATGCTTATTCGTTAGAAGCTATCAGTTTATTGATATGACCTGATTAATACAAATTATACACTGGGCGATATTCAAAAAAGAATTCAAATTTATACACATTAAATGAAAAACGCAAGCCTGGTGTTGATTTCTCTTGTGACAGTTGCGTGTGTTAATGTTACATAATAACCGACATCTCGGTTTTGGTTTGTATACTAACTGATGTGATAGTGCTGATTTGATAACTTCCTTCATTGTTATATAGTGTTGAGTTGATAACTTCCTTCATTGTTATATAGTGTTGAGTTGATAACT